TGTCTTCCAACCTGTTAAAGCTTATACCCAGCACCATGGTCCCTCATGGATGAAGCATATCCATCAAATTAATCGTTGAATGATATCACAATAAGCTTGGAAGACAAAACCATGTGATATTGATTTTTCTCTATACCACATATCACCAGCTATGGTCTACCTCTCCGTATACGAGTTGGTTATATAAACCATTCCATATGCATAAGCACAACCACAATAACATACTTCACCAAGGATTAGTTTGAGCTTTTTCTTTCTTCATCAGCCTTTTTAAACAAAGCAGACTGCGCCCTCCTTAGAACAATGGCCATTCTTATGCCTCGGATCATTCAAGCAAAACAAATTCTCCGACGATCATTGTCAAATGGAAGCAGCAATAAATACATGGTCATCCCTAAAGGTCATTTTGCTGTTTATGTTGGTGAACAAGAGAAGAAGAGATTTGTGGTTCCAGTATCATTGTTAAGCCAACCTGCATTTCAAGAACTATTATATCGGGCAGATGACGAATTTGGGTACAACCATCCAATGGGTGGCCTCACCATTCCTTGCAGCGAAGACATATTCACCGATCTTGCTTCTCGTTTGGGGGCATTATGACTTGTACCTAGCAGTTTTTAGTTTCTACCATGGTTTTGTAAAGAACTAACCAATAGGACCTTTTAAAGTTTGTAAGACGCGTGGAGAGAATTATCCCGTTTTATGAAATTTGATTTAGAATTACATATTCTGATGGTGTTATGAGCTAAGACATACATGACACAATACCATTCAATTCTTACATCTGAATAAACTAAAAAGCTTAAACTTGAATGCCTGCCGTGAGTTCGTCCAAGCCCAAATTTGCCTCCCTGCTTTTCTTCATGATCATAAGCTTCTGGTTCATTTGGTCTGTAATAAATCGAAATTTTATAATCAAATACAGAAACCCACGTGATAACTTCTTTTTGAAATAGTTTGGACAACACGATCTTGGGTGAACATGTTTACTCAATGTATGAAATGGGATTTGTAGCATTAATTATCCCTTATATTTTAGTCTTGTGTCCCTTTTGAACTGGTCAATATAAATCCTTCGTTTGTTGACTTCCTAGTATCTTGAGTAACATGACAAGTTTCAATGAATTCTTCACGTAATGTCATGCACCACATAAGACATGTGGAACTCCTGCAGTGATAAGAAGTTCGGTTTTATGAGTATAAAATCTAATTGACATTATAATAGCCTTAGAGACGGGAGCTTCTTTGGCTTCGAGAATCAGACTATATATTTTTCTGTTGCATGAACCACAGTCAAGTTCTTGCGGGGTGGCCTTTCTATTGTTCATCCTGTGGAAGCTCAGAGACTATGTTAAGCTCAGTGACAGTGAGGGATTGTTTGGGAAAGGAGGAACAACGAATAGTGGTTGTTCAGTCTAACCCCAGAAAAGCTAAGAAGCAATGTTCAAGGGAATGAGCCCAAATTTAAATTTCAATATGAAAAAGCATTGGTACAAAAATGAGCTTGAGTGACGGCTAAAACCGTTAGCGTAGGTATACGGCAACGGTTGTTGTGGACATACAAATCATCACCTTAGCTACTTTCACTTTTGATACACTTTTGGTTACGTTTAAAAAACGTTACAAAAACACAACAAAAACACAACAAAAACCATTAGCATAAGGCTAAAACCGTCACGTATGGTGTATAAGAAAATTGTATTTTGTTCTAAAAAAAATTACTGTAACATGACATTTGGTGACGCTTATTTGTTAGTCCCGAAGGGCAAGGCAATAAGCAGAAAGTAATTGTAGAA